CGGGGAACCCCGATCCCGTCGCACCGCGATCCCGTCCCGGCCCCCGAGGCACCACGATCCCATCGCAGCTCCCGAGGCACCGCGATCCCGTCGCATCGCGATCCCGCCGCAGCCTCGCCGCCGTCCTCACCACTTGGCCAGCGTGTTCTCCTGCACGGCCGCGTACGAGCCGAAGCGGTGCTCTGTCAGGAAGTCCTTGCCGTGTTTCCGAACGAACTCGTCTATGCCCTGCCTCCACCACTGGGCATGCCGGTAGCTGTTACACTTCAAAATCAGCGACCTGCAAAACAGACGACACGAGGGGCAGGATGCTGAAGCCACGTATGGTTAATTGGGCTGCTCCTCGCCCTCTACCCATCTTGATAAATGTACCTGTATCAGTCACGTTTTATTTAAGCAAAAAGGATGGACTTTGCTTTGTTGTTCTGTTTGCAAATGAATAGAATCACAGGATGTTTTGGGTTGGAAGGGACCCCTAGAGGCCACCCAGCCCAACCCCCCTGCAGGAGCAGGGACACCTTGAACCACATCAGGTTGCTCACAGCCCCGGCCAACCTGGCCTGGAATGTTCCCAGGGATGGGGCCTCCACCCCCTCTCTGGGCAACCTGTTCCAGTGGTTTACCACCCTCAGTGTAAAGAATTTCTTCCTTAGATCCAGTCTAAACCTACCCTGCTTCAGTTTAAAACCATCCCCCCCTTGTCCTGTCCCAGCTGGCCCTACTAAAAAGCTTGTCCCCCCCTTTCCTCTGGGCCCCCTTGAAGCCCTGACCGGCCGCACTCAGCTCTGCCCGCAGCCTTCTCTTCTCCAGGCTGAACACCCCCAACTCTCCCAGCCTGGCCTCATAGCAGAGGGGCTCCAGCCCTCAGATAATTTTTGTGGCCTCCTCTGGACCTGCTCCAACAGGTCCATGTCCGTCATCAGCATCAGTTCCATGTCCTACGTCAGCACTGAGCTGCTCTGAGTGCCTACCACAGCATTGCACTGCCAAGCATAAAAAAGAAAAAAATTACCCCAGATTTCAATTGATAGCATCAGCTTAACTCGGAGGAGAGTTGGACCCAGCTAATGCTGTATTTTTTTAAAAAGACAAATTTATATTGTATGCTATCATAAAAATATTAAATACCTCTTTATCCCAGCTAGCATGTCTTTTGGGCAATGCTCCAGTTGGGATGTAGACGAGCACATCCCTGCCTGCAGCGCAGAGGAACAGAGCGCCCAGAAAATTACTGTAAGCAATTGCTGCAAAACCAGAGGGTGCAACTCAACACGCACTGTGCCCTTGCAACTCAACACGCACCGTGCCCTCAGGCCCGAGCAACAGCCCCGGGGATGGACCAGTGGTGGCTGTGGCTCCAAACGCCTCATTAAGACATTGGAAATGATCAGCATGACACAGGCCAAATCCCCAGCAGGTATAAACACACCAGCAGCTGCCCGGGCCAAGCCCTACGGGACGCGGAGCTGCACCACCACGTCAGCCCGGCACACCTTGTTAACCCCTCCCGGCAAGCGGCATCGATCCTTCCTTAAAAAAAAAAAAAAAAGAAAAAGAAAAGAAAAAAA